CGGGAGGTGCTGCTAGTGGTACTCACTGCTGTTTGGAAAGTTCTGGGAGAACATAGCTAGCGTCCAGAGAGAAAACGGATGGGATAAGAAGAGAGAACTATTGGTAACATTGTTGTAAGACTTTGGACCACCTGTTCTTTCCACTTCTGAGTCAGTGAACCCCCTCTTCACCCCACCTGACTTTAATTTTAGCCTAAGTAAGTATATTTTTTTTTCTATTTGGGACTGAAGGAGTTCCCACTGTGCTAGTTTGTTTCCGTTTATCTTACATCTCATCTCCACTCATCTCTGCCCTGCTCTGTGCCCAGAAGGCTGATCTCTGCTTTCTTGTTCAGCCCATGCGAGGACCCAGTAGAAGGAGGGAAGACAGAAGGATGGAGAGGTGGCATGTTACTCCCCACAGCAACCCCTCTTCCTGCCCCTTCTCTGCCTATCCAGGGTTCAGCTCCTGTTGGGTAGCTCTCCAGTGGCTCCAGTGCTCAGTGAATTCAAGTAATGCAGTTCCCCACGTAGTCCCTTCAGGCCTGTGGTTTGGTAATGGCTTTCAGTGGCTGCTCGTCCCTGGGTGCCTCACCTACCTTGTGGGCTCCCTTTACTCAAACCACACCTGTGTAAATAGTGCCTCCATTAAATTCTCATCAGGAGAACCCTTCTGAGTGAGGCTTATTTCCTGCTGATAACATCCCTGACGTTTATCTGTCCAATGCGCTTCTTACCTCACAGGCAGTGCCTTGGTTCAACCCCCCACATCTCTCATCTGGGCCATTGCCACAGTCTCTTAATGGAGTCTCTGTATTCAGCCTTGACCCTTCTCAATGGTCCTTGATCCCATGGCCAGAATAATTCTTTACAATGCATTTAGTATTATGTTATTCTTGAAGCTAAAATCTCTTCAGTGATTGCCCACTGTCTCCAGGATCGAGTCCAGACTGCTTACCAGAGTGAAAGAATATTCACGAAAGAGACTCTGTGTCCTCTCTCTGCCTCATCTTTTGCCAAGTCTCCATTTATACCACGCCTCCCACCCAGGCAAACATCCTTGAATGCTATGAGAGTCAGCTAAAATGTCTGGAGCTTGCACCCACTAGGATCACAGCAGGGATCATACTGTTGCCATGATGGATTAGGGGTTGATCTCCACCTCCCAGGACAGCAAGTCTCTAGGGGAATCATTGTCAGACTTAGCACTGCCCAGTCCTGATTTGACTGAATGAGGCCAGGTTGTGTGGAAAAGATACACTTAATTTGATTTCTCCATGTCTACCCCATATTGGCTCCATGAAATCCTAGAAAATCATGGGATGGCCAGTGCGCCTTTAGTATATATAGAAAAGGTACTCTGAAGATTGAATATTGATTAAGTTAGACACCCACCCCCACCCCAAATCACTTTCTTTACCCTAACGGGAATTAGTTTTTTAAGAAGAAGATAATTGGAAAAGTCTACATTTGCATGAATATAGATGCCAAAACTGGCTCTTTACAAATCAATCAGCACTTGTGGGTACAGAGTGTGCTCTGTTGTTGGGATGCCCACAGGACAGGTGGAGAGAAGGGAGCAGGCAGGGTCAGGAGGGGAGGGGGTCAAGGCAAAAATAGCTGATACCATCAACAACTGTTTATTCAATTTATTTAAAATTGACTTCAGGCCCAAAGTTCTCTGGGCACCTATACAAAATCCAAATGTAGTATAAAATTAAATTTCTTTTTTGGGTATAAACACAAAAACAATCCCCTCCAAAAGCAAGACTTGTTCCCAGGAGAAGATCTCAGTTGGGAGGAGGCTTTGGGAATGTTATCAGATCCCAAGAGGCCTGGTTGAAGAGACCCTGTTTCTACTACATCCCTCCCCCTGTGTAGCTCCTCAGCTGCGTGGTCCTTGGAGACCTCTCCTCTCTGTGCCTCTTCATCCGCTCACAGATGCTTCTCTGGGCATAACACAGCGGCTGCTAATGGTCTGGAGGTCAGAGCCAACTGCAGCTCTCTCAGGAATCCAAGGGCCGTAATGACATGCCTTGTTGGGATGGCACACGCATCATTTTTTTAAAAAGATTTTATTTATTTGACAGAGAGAGCGCGCGCGCACACACACCCAAACAGGAAAGTGGCAGGCAGAGGGAGAGGGAGAAGCGGATTCCCTGATGATCGGGGAGGCTGATCCGGGGCTTGATCCCAGGACCCTGGATCATAACCTGAGCTGAAGGCAGACACTTAACCGACTGAGCCACCCAGGTGCCCCCACGTGCATCATTTCATCTGCTATTTACCCAAGCCACAGGAGAGGTATTGTGTCGTCCAATTTACAGATGAGAAAACTATGGTCCAAAATCAGGGGTTAGTTAACTAGAACCTTGTCTTCCAGCCCACTTTTTTTTTTTTTTTTTTTTTTTTTTTTTAGAGAGAGAGAGGGAGAGAGCACGCAAGTGCTGGAGCGGTGGGCAGGGAGGAGCAAAGGGAGAGGGAGAATCTTACTGCCTTGGACATGGAGCCCTTCACAGAGGGTGGGGGTCTCAATCTCAGGACCCTGAGATCACAACCTGAGCCAAAACCAGGAGTCTGACACTCAACCAATTGAGCCAACCAGGCACCCCTAAATCATATACTTCTAAAAAAAGGTCACGGTTCATTAAAAAAATAATTCCACATAATTAGTTCCTTGCAGAAAATTCAATATAAATAACGCAAAAAGTTCTCTTGACTTCCCACACCAAAGGCGATGGCTATTATCTGGCGTTCCAACAATTTGTGGTTATATACATGCATGTATATCTATGTAAATAGATAATTTTGTTTCATATTTTAACAAAATTTACATGATATTGTGCAGGTGATACTGTTCAGAAACTTGCTTTTTTCTTTTTAAAGCTTTGTCTGAGAAAGAGTTCTATGACAACACTTAGAGACCTACCTTGTACATTTACTCCACCATGTGTTATTTCCAAGTATGACTATACCACGATTTATCTAACCTTTTCTTACTCCTGAGCATTTTTTTCCAGTTTTTGGCTATTGTATCCTTTATATGCTTTTTTTTTTTTTTTTGGTATGTGTTTAAACATTTCTCTAGGGAGACAAGACATACAACAATGGTATTGCTAGGTATTAGAGAATTCACATTGAAAATATTAGTGGATATTGTTAAATGGCACGCCACACAGGCTGTAACAATTTTCTGTACCACTGTACCACAGTGGTACACCATCTGTACCACTGATGGGAGAGTCATTCCTCACATCCTTACAAACAATCCCTGTTATCAACCCTTTCACTTTTTACTAGTTTGATTTGTAAAACGATATCTCATCTTACCTCCCTCCTCCCTGATTACTTTGAGACGCAGCCTGCTTCATACTGTGAATTACCCATTAATAGTCTCACCCCACGTTCCCACTGACTTGCTGGGCTTCTTACTGGTTTTGATATTCTATTAACCTCTGTTAAGTAAGTCACAAATATTTTCTTCCACTTTTTTGCTTCTTTTGGAAACTATGTTTATAGTGTCTCTTTTCATGCAAGACTCTGTTTTTGAGGTAGTAATATGAATCAATCTTTTCTTTTGTGGCTTTTGCACCTTCTTTAAGAAGGTCTATACATCGATATATACTTGTTTATCTACAGTATCTATTTTTAATATTTCCCATTTATTCTCTTAGTTCTTTAGTTCATCTGGAATTTATTTTTGTGAATGGTATGTTGTAGTGTGCTATAGGATTTTCTCCCCTGTATCCTCTATCTCTGAGTTCTTACTGAAGCTCTGAAACTCTTTCCTTAAGGGTGCCTTAGTACCCCAAATTATGGTCCCCCTTTTTTCCCAAGACCCTGCTCCACACAGGAGAAGGAGGGAAAACTTATGGTAGTTACATGGATAGTGCAAGGCAGGAAGAATTTCATCCAATAGACCTGTGCTGATAAATGCCAGAGAGAGGGAAAGAGCACTTTCAGCAGTACAATTTAGGAAGCCTTCTTGAAGGAGGTGGCAGTTAAATTGCTGGGGGAATGAGAAATTGTTTAGTTTGATTGGAATGTATATGACAGGAAAGGGTTGCAGCTAGATAGGGTGGGACAGGCTATAATCACGCAAGGGTCAGCAACCTACAGTGCATGGGTCAGATCCGGCTGCCATCTGTTTCTACAAGGTGTGCAAGCTAAGAATGGTATCCAGTATTTAAATGGTTGAAAAAAAAAAAAAAGAAGAAGAAACTGTTTTATGACATATGAAAATGACATGAAATTCAAATGTCAGTGTCCATAAATAAAGTTTTGTTGGAACATAGCCAAGCCCATTGGTATATTGCCTGTGGTTGCTTTGTGCTCTAAAAGCAGATCTGGGGAGTTGAGACAGAGACTGGATGGCCCACAACACTGAAAATATTTACTCTCTGGCTTTTTACAGCAGAAGTGTCCCAACCCCTGGTAGAGAGACCTGAAGGTTTAGGAGTTTGACTGTTATGTGCTAGGCAATGTTGTAGGAAGCATTCTGATCAGTGCTGTTTTTACGGAAGATGGCTGTTCATGGAGATTGGTAGATGAGAGAGAGGGGGGCATCCAGCTCCTTGCCTGTACGGCTGACAGGGAAAGGTCATTCCAGGGCGGCTTCACAGATCCAGCCACATCTCATGTTTCTTGTAGGATCACCTGAGTGGGCAGCCTGGGGTCTGCTTTCAGGGTGAGGATCACCCTTCGGACCAGACCCAGCGGGATAGAACATACAGATCATCAAGATTTACAAAAATACAGGTGATCAGGGGGCACTTAGGTGGCTTAGACGGTTAAGTGTCTGCCTTTGGTTCAGGTCATGATCCCATGGTCCTTGGATAGAGCCCCGCATCGGCTGCTTCTCCCTCTCCTCTGCCTGCTGCTCTGCCTACTTGTGCTCTCTATCTATCTCTCTGTCAAATAAATAATAAAAAATAAAATAATATACACATAGGTGATCAGGGCCCATTGATACCAATAGCACCATCATTGACAAGCCATCAAGAAGAAAAGATGTTTTTTTTAAACAAAGTTCTCTTTATTACATTAATTTTACACAGTAAAAGAATATGAAGTGCAGACTTGTTTAAATTCTCTTGCTGACTCTCTTGAAGACAATGTCACCCAATGTCATGGTCTGAAAGTTAAAAAAAAAATCATAAAATGTTCATCTGATGTTCAGTTGTAAAAGGTAATGAAGGCTACAAAATCATCCCAAATATGCTAGCATGTGAAACAACCCAAAGATTTCCCTGTTTTCTGTTAGATCAGAGGAAGGGCGGGCGATCTTTTCTAAAATCCCATGCCAGGTCTTTCCCACTTCACTTCCTCATATGAAGAACTGTCCTGCCTTTTAGTGAATGCCTTTCTATATCGATGGCTGTGAAAGCAAGACTGTCCAAATGAGTCCAGTTCAATCCAATTTCTCAAAGTTTCATTGAGTGCCTACTATGTACCAAAGGAGCCCTTTAGCTTCAACAGCAATGGAATGGAATGAAAATATCTAGGTTTGAACCCCGGTTCTATAGCTCATTAGCCAGATGACCTTGGACAGGTCAACCTATCTATTAAATCCCTCATCCTGCCTCCCTCACAGCTGAGGGGAAGATTAGGGGAGATATCAAAAGCATATCCAAACAGACAAAAAGCCTATCAAAGGACTTTGGCCAGGACTGAGACCAGGACAGGCTCGTTTCCCTCCACCCTGCTGGTACCTTCTTCCTGCTGCGCTCTGAATGTGCCTGGCAGGGGTGGGGACAGCATGTTTCCTTGCTGTGCTGACCTTCACACTCTACCTAGTTGAGGGATTTTCCCGCTTGAACAAGGAGTGGTATGACAGACCTTTGGGTAGTGTTCTGCCTTCTGTTACTCCCCAAAGCACTTTCTGGGGGAAAAGAGATCCAGAGGACCCTCCTCTTCTGCTAGAGAAACACTGTGCTATTCACCCCCAAATCAGGGACAGGACATGGCTGACTATCAGGCACCAAGGAGGATTGCCCATCTGGAGAGTGCCACTCGTAAGCTGCCATAAAATTGCTCTGAATATGATTCTCCTTGTAAAAGCCTGTGAGCAAGTCTTATGGCTACATCCCGGTGGAGACTGAGAAAGGTGGGTCATGCTGGTGGCTCTGAAGGACCCTGTCTCTCCTTGTACCAAGCACCCACTTACCCATCCCATGTGGGTATAAGTGAAGAAAGGGGGATAGCAATGAGGGGAGAAGGAAGAGGAGGAGGCTAGCCCGCATCCACTCCAAGATGGTCCTAAGTATATGAGCCCACACCATCTCTAATGGGAGTGGCTCCCTGTAGGATTGCGCAGTGCACAGCTGTGGATGACAGCCGCCGCTCAGAGGAGCCCTCGTTCTGCCATTTCCTGGCTCTTTGTTGCCTCAGTTTCCCCACTTAGAAAAGTCAGGGTGGTGGGAAGATAGAGATCATGTATGTAAACTGCCTAGTACATCATGGGTCCTCAGTAAGTGGTAGCCAAGGTCGAGCACAGGAAAGGTGGTGGGGAAGCTGCACCTCACCCTGACTTCTCCCTTCCCCTCAAGCATGGGGAGCCACCAGCTCAGAGTGCCAACTCACGTTGGTGATCACGTCACCATTGAGTTCAGTCACGGACTTGATGCCTTTGAAGGTTGTCACCAGTTTATTGTCACCTTCCATCTGGACCACCGCCTGCAGGGGAGAGAAGAGATGAGCTGTGAGGAAAGTCTGGGGAGGGAGCAGGACTCTTGCCAGTAACATGGGCTCCCCCCTCCCCCCAGGTCCTGGCTGACAACAGCCAAGCCACTTATGCCCCCCAGTCCTCTGGATTAAAGATAGGAGGTGCATTTAAAAGCTAAAGAAAATGCCAGGGCTCCTTTGATCAAACTTTTAATTTATGGTACGTGAACTAGAAATGAGCGTAGGACACCTAAGTGGTCTCAAATGCAGGCACTAAGATAAAACTGGAAAAATCCCAATTCTCCAAACTGATGGACAGAGGGAATAGCAAAATTCCAAATACTAGCCGGTTGGGAGAACACCTATCTAGCTGTGGTATGTGTTCCTTCCAGCACATTTTATATATTGCATATTGTGGTCTCTTTTTCGAGCTTTATGCATCCAGGAAGAGACAGCAGAAACCCAGCAGAACCAGAAGAACCTGGCCAAGGTTAAGAATGTGCCTCCAAACTAGACAGTATCATGCTTAGCGAAATAAGTCAATTGGAGAAAGACAACTATCATATGATCTCCCTGATATGAGGGAGAGGAGATGCAACATGGGGGGTTAAGGGGGTAGGAGAAGAGTAAATGAAACAAGATGGGATTGGGAGGGAGACAAACCATAAGTGACTCTTAATCTCACAAAACAAACTGAGGGTTGATGGGGGGAGGGGGGTTGGGAGAGGGAGGTTGGGGTTATGGACATTGGGGAGGTATGTGCTATGGTGAGTGCTGTGAAGTGTGTAAACCTGGCGATTCACAGACCTGTACCCCTGGGGATAAAAATATATTATATGTTTATAAAAAATAAAATTAAAAAAAAAAAAAGAATGTGCCTCCAAGATGGACAACTGGAAAAGGTCTGTGGTAAAACCCACAATGGCCTGCCCCTTCTTACAGGCATATCAAGAGAATTTCCCTCCCAAAGTTTATCACACATTTCCTGGCTTGTAATGTCATATCTAGGGAAGCAGAAATAAAAGTCTGTCAGTAGAGGTAAAAAGACCAACACGCTGAGGCCAAGGCACAAAGTTGTCGAGAGTGGGAGGGGTGAAGACAGCTGCTCTGTGGTGTTGGCTGTGCTAGGCGTGTGGAGTTTCCCAGGGAGGAAAAGAAGTCTCTTTTCTTTTCACCCCACTGCCTCTGATCTCTCTGCCATTATCTTCTGGCCATTTCCACAGTGCCCCCACCCCAGCTCTCAGGGCACACCCTGAGCCACAGCCCAGCAGAGTGATGCTGCCCTGCCCACTGCCTTCTGTCAGGGAGGGGAGGCTATGCCCATTTTACAGATGAGGTACCTGAGGCCAGGGGCTCAGTGACTTCTGAAGGCTTGGTCTGAGGGCCTGCCCAGGGCCTTGGTATTGTGGTGTTCTTGGTGTTGCCAGCACCTCCTCCAGGAAGTCTCTGCTCATGACCAGAAACTATAGGCTCAGCAAGGCTGGTTTACTTTGGGCTCAAGGATGACATCGCAACAAGAAGGGCATCCCTGGAGCTTCGTCCCTGAAGCTGTTTGGTCTCTGGCTCCCACTGCAGAAGTGGAGCCACAGATAAGGTATCCATGGTGGGAACTGTGAGGTGGGAGCCTGGCAGGATGAAGCCCTGGGGCCAGGTTCAGGGAAAGTTCCAGAAGCAGAGGGTGGTGTGAGGGGGCACCTCCTACCTTGACCTTCTCCCCAGTCATGGTCTCCAGCTCACACTCTTCCCCCAAGGTGAACTCATTTTGGATCACTTTGGGCCCCGTGGTGATGATGAGCTTGAAGTGCTTCCCGTTCTGCACAATTTCTGACACCCCCTTGATGTCCTTCCCCTTCTGGATAAGTTCGTCAGGCAGACCTGGGGGAAACCATTTGAGGTTCAGAGATGAGCAGAGGTGGGAGCTCCAGGGCAGTGGTCACAGAGAAACTCTGTGGCGTGGTGTCAAACAGGGAGGGGCCGTGTCTCCCCAGAGGCCAGAGGCCCGGACTGAGTCCTCTGAGCAACATGGGCTTGGGCCTCTGAAGGGAAAGGTTGGTGTTCTGATTCGGCCTGACCTGGCGGTCCACTAGTTCACTGTTGGGTGTTATAAAAGAAGACACTCCTGTGTCCTGAGGAACCTTTACTCTAACGAACGCCCTGGTTCCCGCTCGCTCTTCTATCTCACGCCAGACTTTGCCCCGAGTGTCAATGTTTCATTCTACACCCAGAGTGACCACACAGTTTGTGTTCTGGCCAGGTCCCTCCTGAGAGCGAGAGGGGGAGCTATGAATAATATGCCAGGACAATGCGGGCCAGCCGGGACAGCGCCCGGCGATTCTGTGGCCACAGGTCCCCACTCGACCTCTGCTGTCGAGGCTCTTGAGGAAGGAAAGGGGGACTCTCTTGCCCTGGGACAGACCTTTACACATTTCAGGGCACAGGTATGCTGTTCTACGAAGTGAGGGCCCCGTGTGTTGGCAGTGGGGGTAGAGGGTCCTATGGCCTGAGTAAGGGACTCGAAACAGAGGTGGCGTGGCACCCGGTAGGAGAAGGGCTTAGCTCTCGGCTAGCCCTGGAGGTCCTCCTCTCTCTGCCTCTGCTGTCTTCCCCACACTCTTCCCCGTTGGCACCCTTCTTTTTCCCACTGCTCCTTTCCTCATAGGATTCCCTCTACCTGGAGGGCACTCCCCTCATCCCGTCTCCTAGGGACCGCTTACTCACCTGCCAAGGCCCAGCCGAGGCTCACATTCACCGTGAGCAAGCCCCCCTTCGTGCCCTCCCATGAGCCTCTCATCCTTCTGCACATGACTCTGGGGGGGCCAGAGGAGTAAAGTGGGGGTCTCTGGAACCAGCATCCACTTTGTATCCCAATGCAAATGCTTCCTACCTGTGTGACCCTGGTCTGTATTACTTAACCTTTCTAGGCCTCAGCTGTCTTGACTGTGAAATGGGAATGATATTACTACCCAACTCAGAGATTTTTGGTGACGATTCAATGGGGTATTGTATATTAAGGGCTTCGCACAGTGCCTGGCAGTGAGTCAGGTTAGGAGGTTAGGAGATGCTTTACTGTGTCTCTACTTTTTTTCCATCTCTAAACTGTGACTTGGAAATGGGACTCATTTCCAAGTTATCTGTCTCCCTGGTATCCATCCAGCACAGTGAGCAGCATGTGGTTGGCCCGAGTCAACGTGTGTTAGAAGAAGGAATGAATGAATGAACGAACGAATGAATGGATGAATGAATGGGGGAGGGAGGTCACACAGTGAGGGACCAGCAGAGATTGCCTATAGAATGGCCTTGTCCAGTGAGTAATAGCACAAGCTGCAAATGACTACAAGAATCCTATGCATCACATGGCCTCTGGTCTGTGCAAAGCCTGGAACCTTCCTCCCATCCCCGAATCAAGACTCTGATGAGCCACCACCAACAGGGCCAGACCCTCGCCGCCATGACCCCCACCCTTGGTGCCCAGCCCAGCACTCACCAACGGCCTTCATGAAGGCCTCGAAGTTTTCCTGGCTCTGCAGTTGGTACTTGCCGGAGAAGTTCATGGTGGCGACAAGGCTGGCTCCAAGCGGATTGGCAGCTCTGCTGGCTGGGCTGCCCAGTGTGGGCTGATTTATAGGGGGCTCCTTCCACTTCGGATGTCGGACATAGGTCAGCTGCTGTCGACTCCTTTACTGCCAGGTTCAAACATTAACTGCTAAGAGCAATGGTCAATGATAAAGAAACAGGATAAGCACAGCAGAGGTTTGCTCTAATTCAGTAAACATTAGTGGCTATCCGTTAAGGGAAAGCCCTAAGTTCCTATAGCCTTTAATGTGCCAATCCTCCATTAAATGTGCGTGTGTGTATGTGAATGTGTGCATATCTGTACACATATGCACGTGATCGTGTGCCCAGAGATGTGTGCTGATAAACGTATGTGTGTGCCTATATCCATGTGTGTACTTAGATCTAGACACAAAGAAAAATGCCTAAGAATCCTTTTAAACTCAAAACTTCTCCTTATTTACATAACCTTATGATCTCTTCCATCTTTTTTTTTTTAAGATTTTATTTATTTATTTGACAGAGAGAGACACAGCGAGAGAGGGAACACAGCAGAAGGAGTGGGAGAGGGAGAAACAGGCTTCCCACGGAGCAGGGAGCCTGATGCGGGACTCGATTCCAGGACTCTGGGATCATGACCTGAGCTGAAGGCAGACACTTAACGACCGAGCCACCCAGGTGCCCCATCTCTTCCATCTTTATCATTACACAAACTTATTATTTACAAAGCTGTCACAAGCCCCTAGTGCTCTTTCATATTCTGGGATTCCTCTTGATGATTCCAAGCTCTGCACTGTGAACATCAGTCTCCATTTAAGGATGTTAAACAAAGCACTGCTTCCTGAAGGGCAGGTGGGAACCACGGAAACTGGGTGTGCGGAGAGTGAGATGTATTTTATGAGGCAGAGATGGGGTAGGAGAGAGGAAGCAGGTAGTACCAGCTGGGCCAACAAAACACGTCAAGGGGGCACCATGCCCCATGTTTGCTTTCTCGCTGCACCCTCTGCCCTTCCCTCACCTTCTCCACCTGCTCACTTCCTCTAGAAATTCTCTGGGCTCATAGAGCACTTTGTAAATACCTATGTTCCAGACCCTACTGGGATTATTTCTCTATGTTTTCTTCTTCATTTCTTCCTTGGTATTCCCAATACGTAGCACCTAGTAGGTGTCTGTGATAGGTCAGTAAACAAAAAACCATCAAAAGATAATGAGGCCATGGATCTCCTTGTTGAAGGAAAATGAGAAATATGGAAAATTAGCTTGGCGCAGCCCCTCTCATCACTGAATCATTGGGGCAGGGCAGCCAGGATCAGGGTGTGTGTGTGTGTGGTGTGTGTGTGTGTGTGTGTGTGGTGTGTGCGTGTGTGTCTAACCAAGCAAGTGCATAGATGAGATTCCAGCGAACAGGGTTGGCCATGGTTAAATCTGGGACTGAGAGCCGGCTACTCTCTTCCCACCTCTGTCCATTCTTTCTCCTTCCTCCGAGATCCCGTTCTGCTATTCCAGCCCACACTGGGGTAGATGGTGGGAGATTGGTTCTGTCACCTGGACAGGGCTCTCCGCTGCCAGGGGACCCTGTCTGTCCTTACCGGCAGCACAATCGCCAGGATGACTGCACACTCACTCACTCAGCCACCAACATTCTGGGTGCCAACATTCTGCCAGAGTATCTGCTCTGGAAGCCCAGCAACCCTCAGGTTCTGGCTGTATAGGAGTCAAGGGACACGTGAGTGTGTGAGGTCTCGTCGCAGGGACACTGACCACAGGAAGACAAGACGGGAGCACAGCATTAACACGAGTGTGTCAGTCCACAGGAGAGCCATGCTCTTTATCTCCAACTCCCTCTCACGTACTCTCTCAAATTTCCAGAATGTGGACCTGCGGATCTAGCAAAGCACTTGAGAAGTCCTCTCACCCCACCATGTGCTCAATGTCAAAGCCCTCCTCTGGTGTCCCTGCCGGGTGGTGTCAGCATACAGCCTGCCACGGAAAGATCGCTCTCTTCTGAGCAGCATGGGCAAAGGGCACTGGTTGACGGCCATCACACAGATCCCAGCACCAGTAAGCCTGTCCCTCGGGGGCAGAGGGGTGCTCCCGTCTGCCCTCTCTGCTCGGTCCCCCTCTGACAGTGCCCAGGACACAGAGTGCTTTCCAAGCCACGGGTCAGGATGGCTCCTGGAGAGTGCTAAGCAGCCTTGGAAGCCCAGAACACACAACCATTTTTAGGCACTGCAAATGCCCTAGCACCCAGCTGGCAGTGGGAGAGTGCACTCAAGGGATGACAAGCACATCTTGTTCTAAGCCGAGACCCACCCACCCCACCTCACCTACCACCTCGCCAAAGAACTTTCCAAATACCTATCAGGAAGTAAATCAGTAAGAACTTGCCTCAATGAGGAGTTTGGGAGTTTTTAAAGGCAGTGAAATAATCACTAAGGAAATGGTGATGATGAGGCCATTAACCCTCTCCCTTGTGGCCGTGAAGGGCTCAATTTGGGAGACTCTACGGGTAGTGCCACGGGCACACCACGCTGTCCCACGTGGCTGATGCCGCCCAGCATCTCTCCTCGGATAAAGGGATACCCGGGTCCACATCCAGACACTCTCCCTTGACCACCGATGTCAAAGGACCCACCCCACAGCACTGCTCTCTGGGCTTTAAGGAGGAGGGTGGGAAGGAAGGCCATGAATTTGTCTCCTTAGGGCAAGTGAGCACCCATCCCAGAGCCCTCTCAGAAAGGCGGGGGGGTTTCCTCCTTTTCTGGTGTCCGACTTCCTGCAGACCCTTCTCCCTGGCTGCTTCACTCCCTCCCTACCCAGTCCAGGCAACACCTGGGCAGGAGTCACTCAGAGGCCGCTCAAGAGGCAGGCACAGTGGTAAAACCTGCCACCTCTCTCTGCAAACGGACAGCCTGACAGACACGAGGCAAGGACCTCTTCCTCTTCTTCTTCTCAGGCAATCTGCGATGGCCTCCTTCGGGCCAGATTTTTGTGTGTGAGGCTGGAGGGCGGGGAGGTTAGTGGCCATTTCAAAACTTAACCCTTGTTAAGTAGTTTTGCGTAAAATTAGGAGAGGGTAATGACATTTCCTGCCCACAAGCCAAGCAAACACAAGAAGAGATAAGCTTAATTGCAAGGACAAAGTTCAAGTGGCTTTCAAGAAAAAAAAAAAAAAGACTCTCCCTTCATGGGAACAGTTTTCAGTTCCAAAAGTGTAATGCCTCCCCAGTTCCCACTAGACGTCCTCTATCCTCATGCTCCCTACCCAGATGAGCAAGGGGTGGGGGAGCGGGGGGGTGGGAGAAGAGGTGACTCATGCCTCTTGGTGAGCAGAATATGCCTGGCATTCTTTGAGGTCAGGCCACTCTCCGGTTGTGTCTCACCCTACCACGTTGGCCCACTTGCCTGCCTCCCGGGTGTTGCTGGAGGTGCCCTGAGCTGCCCATTCTCCTGCTAGAGAAAGGGCTCTGGAGAGCAAGGAATTTGTGGTTTGGGCCCAGATTTCTCTACCTAACCCGAGATCCTGGACAAATCACTCAGTCTTCTTGAGCCTCCACGTCCTTATCTGGGAAGCCATGACATTCTCTGCCCTGTGAATACCCTGTGTAAACTGTCGAGTCCTTCAGCAATGTGAAGCCCCTACCAGAGGGGATCCGAGTGCTTTGCACTGGCTTTTGCCAGGTGTCTCAGAGCTCTCTCTAGCTCATAACCGATTTTTATGTTTCTCTCTTGGCTTGGGATCAAGCTTCTTCCCGTCTCCCTGGGCTGGTGGATAGTGTCTTCCATCCCTAGTATGCTAAGGTGCAGTGGCCTACCAGGGATCTCAGTGCCCACTTCGTGTCTTTTGGGGGCCCTGAGGCCTCATCGCCTGCTCCGGGGGGTATGGAAATCCACACTCTCTGCCCCCCGGACCTATTTCCAGATCTGGCGATCACCCCAGGTACCCCAGCCTCGTTGCACTGTTTACTGCCTTTTCAGATCCGTCTGCGCTTCTGACACTTGGGGATTTTTCTTCCTTTCCTTCTTGTGACCTCACCTCTATTTCTGAAAACCTGTTTTATGGCTCAACCTGCACCTTTTAGCCATGCTGAGGGAAGAGTTTGCCTTAGTTCCTTGGACCATGTTGTAGGGCCTGGAAGCCTTGTGTTTTTATTATGTGCTGTTTTAAATCCTTTTTGTGGAATTTCAGGATGTACCTACTTCAACAAAAAATTTTATTTTATGATTTTATGATTTATTTTATTGTTTTTTTTAAAGATTTTATTTATTTATTTATTGGACAGAGAGATAGAGCACAAGTAGGCAGAGCAGCAGGCAGAGGGAGAGGAAGACACAGGCTCTCCATGGAACAGGGAGCCTGATTCGGGGCTCCATCCCAAGATACTGGGATCATGACCGGAGCCGAGAGTAGACACTTGACCGGCTGAGCCACCCAGGTGCCCCAACAGAAAATTTAAGAAGACATACTTTTTTTTTAAAAAAGATTTTTTTAATTTATTTGACAGATCGAGATCACAAGTAGGCAGAGAGAGAAAGAGGAGGAAGCAGGCTCTCTGCCCAGCAGAGAGCCCGATGTGGGGCTCGATCCCAGGACCCTGGGATCATAACCCAAGCTGAAGGCAGAGGCTTTAACCCACTGAGCCACCCAGGCGCCCCTAAGAAGACATTCTTAAGCATTGCTTTTCATATGTGTATTCCGTGTCTTTGATCATTGAATATCCTTAAAGAAACCCCTGTTGTTGAGGGACACCGACTCTGCCTGCTTGTGTGTACTCTCTCTGACAAATAAATAAAATCTTAAAAAAGAAAAAAAAAAAAAGAAACCCCTGTTGTTAACAGTCCCTTCTAGGGCCAGTCCCTAGAACGGAATCTGCCTTAAAACCATCCAATATCGGGTGCCTGGGTGGCTCAGTTGGTTAAGCGACTGCCTTCAGCTCAGGTCATGATCCTGGAGTACTGGGATCGAGTCCCGCATCAGGCTCCCAGCTCCACGGGGAGTCTGCTTCTCCCTCTGACCTCCTCGCTCATGCTCTCTCTCACTGTCTCTCTCTCTCTCTCTCTCAAATAAATAAATAAATAAAACTTTTAAAAAAAAAAAAAAAAAAAAAAACCATCCAATATCCTTGGCATTTTTTG